AAGTTATTACTGAAGCAACAACAACAACTGGACAGACACAGCAGAGAATTGCACAGAAAAGTTCAATTCTACCGCAAGATGTGCAGAACCCAAACAGCCCAAGAGACAGATTGGCAATGTTAAGAAAAACTATGTGACGTGTTTCAAGTGCAGTTGCAAGGGTCATAAAGCAAATCAAAGTCCATCTGTTTTCCCATTAGAAGCTAGGAAAAGCAACTCCAAGCAGGATGTCAATAAACAGGGGGAATAACAACTTCTGTAGTGAAGAGTCGAACTGCAGGAGTGGAAGTTGAAGACTCGCAAACAGACATTCGTGACAGAGTTTTTGACAAAGGAATTGGACCTTGTCCCGTAAAGTCAGTGAAAATTGAATGTAGCGCTAGCGGTTCTGCTAACTGTATATGGTATAAATAATTTAAGTCATTTTCCTTCATAAACGTTCCAATCGCAAAGAAGACATAAGATTATAAACATTAAACAATTAGATTTATTAATGCATTATCAACAAACAATTTATTTCAAACGACGACATTCACACCACATTCATACCAAATTAACAACAATAAATTAAGTTTTAATAAATTATTTAAGAAAAATCATAGCGTAAAACAGACTGAAAAACCACCCAAAAACCTACATATCTATTTCCCAATATCTAATAATGAAACCAAGTCGTAGTTATTTATAACTTTGACTTGTAAAACTTAACACAGGCTTTACTGTATGCAACAGGTTAGCTTGTTAATCTCCTACACTCTTTATTAAAACGGGACACAAGCCGTGATTATTTATAACGTTGACTTGTTAAACCTAACAGCAAGCTTTACTGTATTAACAGGTTTAGCTTGTAAATACTACGGGCCATAAATGTTATTAAATCCAATAATCTTTATTAAGTTTCAAGTAAAGTGAAAATTAAATTCTAAAATTCTCTAATGAAAAATTGTATTAAAAAATTCTAAAGATAAAATTTACGTATCTAGAAAGGTTAAATTACTGAATCTAAACGAAATAAAAAATTGACTTTCGTTGAATTAATCAACTTTAACATTGTTAGTCATCATAAAAGAGAAAGATAGCAAACGTATAACTTTTGTTACATAGTTTGCCGTAAAATAAAAATTAAATAAATGTAGAGTAAAATCGTAAAATAAAATAATCCTAGAAAATTAATTACTGAAAAGAACTACTCAGCCATAGACTGTTGAGTTCTTAGAAGTACCGATCACGGACAATAGTATTTACTATTTAAGGTCCTTCACGGTTAAATCCTATCCTAACTAAATAAATGAAAAATAAAAAAAAATTCTAAATAAAATAAAAGATAGACAAAAATAAAAGTTGAAATAAAATCCTAACAAAAATCTACAAGCTCCGTAAAACGGACCTACCAATTCAAAATAAGCAGAAGAGTGGCTAAAATTTCTCAGCGTCTAACTTTTATACTACTCAAGGACAGAAAATGACTGAAAAAGACAGAAAATGCTGGAAAAAGACGGAATTATTAATTATGAAATTTCATTGGATTAATAACTAATGATCAATTATATCGAGCAATCTGATTGGTCAATAGTAAAACATCACGACCTTTCACGTGAACAAGTGTTACCAAATAATCTACACAAATGTAAAATCATTCTTTCTCACATATTATCAATTAAAACAAAATATATTTCACAACAAATAATTAAAAGAAAACATATTAAACTCAAAACAATATTCAGTTCATATCAAAATCCATTCATTCGTAAGAAAGCGCCATTTATACTCAATAAATTTATCGACTATACAACCAAGAGGAGAACAATTTATCAATTAGATTAACAAGTTTCTAAACCGGAAGTACATCGTACAGAAGAGTTCCAAAACTGTCAAACATGTGCCAAAAGAAGTTTAGACTGTTTACAGGTATCAAATTAATTAAGTAACACTAAACAAACTACAATCACATACTTTTACACACAGTTATAATCTTGCAATATATACGGAAGTAATAATTTTCAAATGGCTCACTTTACAAATCTCCTGTCAAACTCTTATTCAGTTCGAATTATCTCTGTCATGTTTACATTACCAACATGCTATGATACTACAATTTACTCTTGATTCCAAGTATTTAGAAATACAATTACATTGTCAAACATGTGCCAAAAGAAGTTCAGACTGTTTACAGGTATCAAATTAATTAAGTAACACTAAACAAACTACAATCACATACTTTTACACACAGTTATAATCTTGCAATATATACGGAAGTAATAATTTTCAAATGGCTCACTTTACAAATCTCCTGTCAAACTCTTATTCAGTTCGAATTATCTCTGTCATGTTTACATTACCAACATGCTATGATACTACAATTTACTCTTGATTCCAAGTATTTAGAAATACAATTACATAACTTAAGTACAACTTTGCGAAAAGCACATTCATAGTAAAACAAAATAAAACTCCTTGAATAAACAAACTTCATCAATCTGTTCTAAATCACTATAAAGCATGAAGACATATTACAGTCATTGACTCTATTTGATAGAAAAATCAACCCGCTCCAAGCTCACACAATTACAGCAAAATATTGCAGACATTGACTCAGAATAAAACTGTGTGAATAAACAAGCTTCATCAACCCGCTCCAAATCACCATAAAGCATGAAAACATATTACAGTCATTGACTGTATTTGATAGAAAAATCAACCCGCTCCAAGCTCACACAATTACAGTAAAATATTACAGTCATTGAATCAGCATGAATAAACACTATATTGTGAATTAAATAATAAATTTCATATACCCTAACTACATTACATAAAAATTAAAAGGGGGGTCACATACACTACACTGCCCCCTCTTTTAAACGTTCATGTCCCCATGAACACCATACATTCACAATACAACACACATATAAAGACAAAGACATTCACACTCACACAACAATATTACATCACATTCTCACCAAATACTATGTATAAAATAATAAAGAAGTCACATACATTCGTCAACACTCACACATGATGTAAACTAAATTCAAATAGTGTAAACAAGGCAAAAATAATAAACTGATGATACACTCACATACATCACATACACTCAAAATAATAATTCGGACAAGACACATAATTGCGACATCTAAAATGATTCATGTCAAATAAAATAAATATCACTTCTGTACCCACAGCAACAAAAGTCATCCCATGGTAACTTAAGACATGCATACCCATGCTAACAAAACTTATCAAGTACACTCTCAAAAGGTTTATATTATGCTAAATAAAACGTCATAAGGACAGCATTAAACCCCTGGTGATTAATCGTCATCAATACACCTAAAATTTGCGGAGCCAATCGTCATTGTACAACCGACTTAAGTACTTCTAATTTTACGGGCAATTAGTAACCAAAAATATAGGGAATATACAATTCTCTATTTATAAACATATCATTTCAATCCACAATATCTAAAAAAAAAATAATTCAAACATCCAGTTTCCAGACATAGGCAGTGCTCCAACAGATGAAATATCTATTTAATTTAAATGATCCTAAATAGTGTAGACACATGAGTAGACAATATTCATCAAATAAAATCTGTACTTACAAATATATCAAGTCATAAATACCTAGTTGTCAAATTCTACCAATCCTTACATGCAAGCATTAATATTATGCTAATATACAATGTTCTAAAATCCACCCCCTATCCCAAACTAACATTAAAACCCCTTAACATATAAAAACCTATTTCTTATCGCACCTAACTACTGTTGACTTGATCTTCTTCTTTACTGGAGAGTTGGATCTTGATCTGGACCTTCTGAATAATGTCTCGGCACGGGTTGTTCTTTTCCGGCGTCTTTCTTCCTTCAGGTTCCTTCGGTACGGTGGGGCACTGCCTGTGGTAATGAGGCGAGGCCGATACCATCCTCGGCCCCGGAGCGCAGGCCTCTTGGATGATCTTGCTCGGATAGGTGTAGCAGGTCTATCCTCCGGCTGAGGTGTAAGCCCCCTCTTTGGGCCGCTGCTATAAAAATAATCCGTCAAGGTCTTTGTTAATTCCCTGACCGCTACAGTCTGCTCCACTATGGCCTCTATCTGCCGGTCACCTTGCTTCTTCACCTCAGCTTGTAGGTCCTTAAGTGCCCCTATCAGATCCGCTTTCTCTGCCCCTAGTTCTGGCTCCTCCTCTCCCAACAGTTGGGGTAAAATGTCCACCACTTCTGGAGGGGGGCTCGTCGCTGGCGTAGGGGGAACTAATTCCGCCACCTCCTCCAGAAGTGTGGACAGTGGGACCACTTTCTCCTCAGCCATCTTCTCTTTCTTGGAACTTAAATTCATCCAGTATGCCAGTGAAGCTGCCTGTTCCCATCTGACTAAGAGATCATCCTTCCAGGTAAAAGGTACAGAAGCACGAATAACCTCCACTGGAACATCTGTTCCCTTATGCGGGCCATACCATTTACCATGAGACAAAAGTTCCTTCTCGGTCAGCGCTACAAAGTCACATGATTTACATGTAAAAGGAACTTCCTCCCTAGGCACGTGACACTTCAAAAAATGCTTAATAACGTACTTTTTAATCTGTTTAAATTCACAAAGCGTGCACTGAAATACTCTCCCCTTCTTTTCGGCCTTAGCCACATCCATGATGAAACTGCAAAATTACAGATAAATATTAGGTGAGTATGAATTTATATTCTCATTATGTAAGATCCCTTGCCAGCCCGTAGAAGTAGTCTGTTTCACGATATGATCTTGGAATAAAAATATTATGTACATAAATGTATTTAATTCTTTAGAACTTTATACTTAGAGTACATATCAAATGATATTTTTAAAAATCAGCTGTTCATTCACACATCCATCCTTACTTCTCGGTCGGAGTATAAATATTGTTTCTTGTTTATTTACTAAAATAATTTAGTATAAATATGTTTTATATCTCTTCTTTATTTGAAAGTTGATATATTTCCTTATTCAGGTATAGGTCCAACTAATAGATGTACATGCTGCATTCAGCTAGGCAGTTCAACCGATCAAATCTGTGGGGAGCAAGTCTGTGGATGTGTAGAAAATGGTATGGCTTATAGGTAGCTCATGAAATTTGCTTGGAAAACAAAGGTATTTGGAATTGAATAAAATCCTTTCATCTCTAAGGTTAAGTGGTATTATATGTGTCAAGAAGAAAAATCAGCAAATTTAAGTTAGAAACATCTCTGGATAACCATTAATTTCTGATAATTGTGGATAAAATTCAAATCGACTTCTGAAATTTCTTCAAAGCGGTCATCATCCATGACATTCTTTCTGTCACCATGGTATGGTTTCATTTTGTTGTGATGTACAATCTTGATACTTGATCGTTCGTCTGTCTGCACTCGATATAATAAAATCATTAACCTTTTGTAGCACCAAGCAAGGGCCAAAGTATCTCGGCTGCAGCTTTTGACTCTCCAGGTCAGTATTTGGACTTTCCTGTAGAATAGCAACCAGGTCACCAACTTTATATTGATTCAGGTTAGATCGTTTATCATATCTATCCCTTTGCACTCGCAAAGAGTTTCCTAGGTTTTTCCTAACAATTTGACTTGCTTGGTACATACTCTCTCTTAGGTTATAAATATAATCGCCACATGTAGAAAAATTTTCTGTTTCACTGGAGACGTCAAATATAACTTCAAGAGGAAGTTTGACTTCTCTTCCTAACATAACCATGTTCGGCGTAAATTTTGTTGATTCTTGTGGTGTACTTCTGTAGGCAAGAGCAAGACATCCTAAGTTTTGATCCCAATCTGTTTGTTTTCCCTTGATATAAGATTTAATCATACTAATCAGTGTTCTGTTAAAACGCTCTACCAAACCATTTGCTTGTGGATTTCGAGGGGTCGTCCTTGTCTTTTTAATTTCTAACATGTTGCATAGCTCTTGAAACAAATGGCTTTCAAAATTACGACCTTGATCACTGTGAATAGATTGTGGGCAACCAAATCGAGCAATAACTTCGTTGAGTATTTTATCTGCACAAGTCTGAGCTGTCTGGTCATGAACTGGAAGTATTTCCACCCATTTACTAAAGTAGTCTGTTACAACTAATATATATTTATTTCCTCGTGGCGTTCTGGGTAAGGGACCAACTATATCTATTGATAATCTATCCATTGGTGCGCCAACACTCATGTTTCCTTAGGGTCCTCTTGGCGGCTTGGTTGTAATCTTGTTCATTTGACATTCATGACATTTCTGTATCCATAGATTTATATCTGTTTGCATATCATACCAGTGAAATAATCTTCTTGTTTTTGCAGTGGTTTTCCTTTGTCCTAGATGCCCTGAGATAATGGAATTGTGCATTTGATGAAGTACCTGGTCTCGTAAAGTATGAGGTAATATTAACTGTAAGTAGTGCAAATCTCCATTGTTAGAGACAAATTTCTTATATAAAATTCCGTCTAATAGTTGGATTGAGTCCCAAATGTTGCAATAGTATATACAAGAAGGGCTAGCATTTTTAGTAAGATTTTCTTTTGGTCTTTGCCCCAGTTCTTTCGAGTCATATATTACTTTCAAGTCTGCGTCTTTTTTTTTGTAATTTTGCCATATCCACTGGAAGACAAACATCTTGCCAATATGTGATTTCTGACTTCGTTTGATTACGAGTCATTACACGAGCCGTATTTATAATTTTGTCTTTTGTATCAGGCCATCTCTTACGTTCTGGAGTTTCTTCATCTCTTTTTATGCACTTTTTACAGGGACCACACTTCAGTGTTGTATTAGCATCTTCCACGCACTGGCAGTTTCGTGGGTCGGGACATCTGGAAAGTGCATCTGCATTGCCATGTTTATCGCCAGGTCTGTATTCAATGGAGAAATCATAAGAAGAAAGTATTTCAATCCATCTGGCGATTCTACCCTTGGGTTCTTTAATTTTGAATAACCAAACCAAAGCCTGGTGATCTGTTCTGATTTCAAATTTTCTCCCTAAAAGATAATGTCTAAAGTATTCAACGAAATATCGTACTGCAAGTAGTTCTTTATCTGTGACACAATAATTAGTTTCAGCTTTGTTTAGGACTCTGATGGCATAGGCTATAACCTTTTCTTGTCCGTCTTGTATCTGACTCAACACACCTCCAATACTGACATTGCTTGCATCTGTATCAAGTATGAATTCTCCATCCATTGTTGGGAAACTCATAATTTCTAGTCCAGTAAGAAGATCTTTAATACATTGAAAAGCCTCTTGACATTCGTCAGTCCACAGAAATGTACTGCTCTTCTTTGTTAAGTTAACTAGGGGTCTTACGATGCTTGCAAAATCTTTAATAAATTTTCTATAATAGGACGCCATGCCTATGACTTGTCGCACCTCAGTCGGTGTTCTCGGAACTGGCCAATTTAGGATTTTATCAATATTGTCTGGGTTTGGTTTCACTCCATCTTTGTTGATGACATGCCCCAAGAAGGAAACTTCCTTTTGAAATAACTGACATTTGTTTGGCTTAAGTTTCAAACCTGCATGTCTAATTCTATTCAAAACCTCTCTAACTCTTGTTAAGTGTTCTTCAAAATTTGATCCAAATACTATGATGTCATCTAAGTATATCAGACATGTTTGCCATTGTAAACCATTCAGGATCATCTGTAAAGTACGTTGAAAAGTTTGCGCACTCCCTTTCATTCCCATAGGCATTGTTAAAAATACCCACAGTCCATATTTTGTTATGAAAGCAGTTTTTGGTATATCTGATTCTATGACAGGAACTTGGTGGTAACCAGAAGTAAAATCGAGTGTTGAAAATATTGTCGCTCCAGAGACAGCATCTAGACTGTCTTGTATTCTAGGTAGAGGAAAGGCGTCATTCACAGTCACTTCGTTTACTCGTCTGTAGTCTATGCATGGTCGGATTTTGCCATTTTTCTTTAAAACAAGGTTTAAAGGAGAAGCCCAGGGGGAATTGGATTTTCTGATAATTCCTTGTTTTTCCATATCAGTAATTGTCTTAAGTTCAGCTTCAGCATAAGCAATCGGAACTCTTCTGGGTGGGAGTTTTATTGGTATTGCATTACCAGTGTCTATTTCGTGCTCATTAACATGAGTCAAGCCCAGGTCTAAGTCATTCTTTGAAAAAGTATCTTGGAAGTCAAATAATAATGTAAACAACTCTCTCTGTGACTCTTCATCAAGCTCATTGGACTTCAAGGAGTCTTCATATAACTGTTTCACATGTTCAGGTAACTTTTCATTTAATTGTCCATTTTCCGTTTCACAGGTATTTCCTGTTGTAATATCATCTGCACTTCCTCCAGGATCTTCAAGCACAGTTTCATGCAGAAACTCTTCAGCATTTCCAAGTACAGCATCTTGTCATATCTGTTTTGTGTACAAGTGGGATTCAAAAGTCTGACAGGTACAGTAGTGCTTTTCTCAATATCTACCAAAGTAGATGCCATCAATAATTCATACTTTACTGAAAATTTTTCATTTGGTTCCACTATAAACTCTGTAGGTTCTATATCATCATCAATTCTCTCAACAAAAGCTTGGATAACTCTCTCACTGTAAGGTGGTACAATATAGTTATCAGCGGCAGTAACCCTCCGGCATCTGTTATCTGATTTAACTTGAATGCAGGGTATAGTAGTGCCATGCAATCGTACGATTCCTTGACTAAGTAAAATATCTGCAGACACTCCATATTTGTCTTGTAAAACATCCACCCCCAAAAGACAATCGTCATCAATATTTGCAACGATAATATTCTGTTGTACCACCAAATCATCAAGACTCAAAGTAAATTCTGCCTCACCAAGTAAAGTCAAACTGGTACCACAGGCGTTAACAATGCCTGAGGTATCTTTAAGTTTTGGTTTCTTTGTAATTTTCTTAAATATTCTCTCTGACAATATGGTTCTGGAAGCACCAGTATCTACAGTAAAAGTAACAGGAACATCATTGATTTTTCCTTTGACATAAATTCCAGGGCATTTTTCAAAATTTCTTTGAACAACATCAGTAACAAGGCTAATATCTTTTATTTTATTTTCAGATAGGTCTTCATCCAAAGTCTGCTCCTGGATCGTCTGTCGACCTGCAGTTACGATCCCCTGAAGTTTAAATTTCCGGGATTTTGTGGTGCTGCACCTCTGAAGTTCTGATGATTTCCAACTGGACAGTCGCGAGCGAAATGACCTGGATTCTGACATTTATAACAAATGTTATTAGGGTTTAGTTTAGGTCTTGGAGGAAAGACTGAGGGTTTACTCATCTCAGACAACTTCTTTTCAAGATTCTGGATTTGTCTCTGTATTTTCAATATATCATCTTTGAGGTATGTAGAGGTAGTCTCTGGTGTTTTAGCTTCAGGCGTTGTGGTAAGTGGAGCACTATTTTGTGGGACAGTCTTAAATTGTTTTTCTTTTTTTTTCAAATCTCTTAAAATTTCCAGTCTTGGAATCGTTATCAACCACTGCTCGAACAGGACGCTTAGCAGCCTTTGAAGAGCTTCTCTTATGAAAATCGCTGAAATTGATCACCTGAAATACAGCATCATCTATGTTATCTGGCTCTTTTATGTATTCAACCTGGAACTGGAATTTTTCATCATTGAGACCATCAAAGAACTTTCGAAGAAGATCCTCCTTGCGTATGGTTTCATCTCTGTTTGGATATGCTTTAGCATAGAGTTTTTTTTAAGTCTGCTGCATAGACTTCTACAGATTCATTTGGTTTTTGTCTACGATTGCTGAATTTTGCTTCAAGTGACTTCTTAGTCTCAATGACTTGATATCGATTATCTAATTCTCCTATTAATTTCTTGTAATTAGATCTAGTAATTTTGGTGAGTTGTTCGAAAACAAATTCTCCGGCACCGCCTTGCATTCTGGGTTATAGTTCGTCTAGCCGTTCACTGTTTGTCCATCTTCCTCTGTCTGCCATCTCTTCAAATCTACCCTTCCATACAACCCATTTCTCTTTATCTTGTCCAGTAAAGGGAGGTAATTTATGTGAAAATTTTCTGGAGCGTCTCTTTTGAGTTATGATAGATGTAGCTTCACTTTTATCATCGGAATCTGAAGTACTTCTACTAGTGGAGTCATCTGAAGAGGAGGAATTTTCATCAATCAGTCTTGCACGCTTAAGTTGTCTTTCTGATTGTGTTTTCCTAGAAAGATGGCCATGTCTGGACAGTGTTTTACACTGTGCCGAGTCTGTTTGACTCTTCCGAGGGCTTTGGTGTGGCATGGACACATCTGATTGGATCGTGTTCAAAAATTTCTGCATGTCTTTTAAAATAGTAGCTAATTCATCTCTGTCACCAGACAATGGATACATGGGGGGCTGGTTCATTTGTTTACTTCTGACATCGCCATGGTTTTGTCTCATAGCATTTGGATAATCTGATCTAGTAACTGGAGGACAGGAATATGGACGCCCAGTCTTTGGAGGGACTGGTTCATGCAAATCATCTACTGATGAATCATCTGTTGAATCATGGATTGGTAATGGAAACTGTGTAGGGTTATCTCCCCTATCCAGGATGAACATTTGTTCATTACACCTTTCCGGTGTTGTATGCTTGTGTTCATTTGTAATAAATGATTGTGACACATTTTCTGTGTTTATTGGATTCTTGTGTAATGAATTGGACATCAAATTTGATGTTAAATCTGTGCATGACATGTGCATAGTGTCTTGTACAGTATTTTTACTGTTTATAACACTTTTATTTCCGAAAGGATTCTCAATTCCAGTTTTTAAACTGTTTTCAGAATTTATTTTGTCTACACATTGCCTATCATTTTTCTGTCTCACACTCACATCATCTGACACCACATCAGCTTCTACAACAATCTGACCCTTTCTTTTATTCTTTCCCATTCTATTTATCTGAGCACTGCCTAGTCAAAAATAAAAAAAAAATTACACATCATCTTTATTTATACCAACACCTAGCAAAAATATAAAAAGGTTCGTATCTCTGGATACCTATAAAAATGAAAGGTATCCCGCCGTGGATGCCAAAAATGTAGCGCTAGCGGTTCTGCTAACTGTATATGGTATAAATAATTTAAGTCATTTTCCTTCATAAATGTACCATTCGCAAAGAAGACATAAGATTATAAACATTAAACAATTAAATTTATTAATGCATTATCAACAAACAATTTATTTCAAACGACGACATTCACACCACATTCATACCAAATTAACAACAATAAATTAAGTTTTAATAAATTAATTAAGAAAAATCATAGCGTAAAACAGACTGAAAAACCACCCAAAAACCTACATATCTATTTCCCAATATCTAATAATGAAACCAAGTCGTAGTTATTTATAACTTTGACTTGTAAAACTTAACACAGGCTTTACTGTATGCAACAGGTTAGCTTGTTAATCTCCTACACTCTTTATTAAAACGGGAGACAAGCCGCGATTATTTATAACGCTGACTTGTTAAACCTAAAGCAAGCTTTACTGTATTTAACAGATTCAGCTTGTAAATACTACGGGCCATAAATGTTATTAAATCCGATAATCTTTGTTAAGTTTCAAGAAAAATAAAAATTAAATTCTAAAATTCTCTAATGAAAAAATTCTAAAGATAAAATTGCGTATCATGTATTAAAGATTAAATTACTGAATCTAAACAAAATAAAAAAAAAATGACTTTCGTTGAATTACCGGTAATCAACTTTAGTCTTCATAAAAGAGAAAGATAGCAAACGTATAACTTTTGTTACATAGTTCGCCGTAAAATAAAAATTAAATAAATGTAGAGTAAACTCGTAAAATAAAATAATCCTACAAAAATTAATTACTGAAAAGAATTACTCAGCCATAGACTGTTGAGTTCTTAGAAGTACCGATCACGGACAATAGTATAATTTACTATTTAACACGCATTCTCTGTAAGCACCAACGAATTTACTATAGGGCTTGGAAATGACATGTCTCGGATTTTGATGAAATTTGCACCATAGGTGTGTCTTGGTACAAAACTAGTAAATATGGTGTCGGAAGTTCCACACGTGCACTTGGTTGCCATGGAGACAGATCCATTG